AGATTTTCCAAGTTATTGCTCCACTTTAGAGATTGCTTTTTGATCATAGAAACAACCAGCAGATCATCTCCACTTAGTTGGTGGAGGAGCGTTCATCTGGGTCCTTGGATTCCAAGCAATCATAGTTTTACACAGATTTTCTACAATTCTCTGTGCAAACTTGGTGGCTCTTCCCTTGACCTCTATGTAACGGCCAAATCCATCGCCATCAGATATTGTCTTCTTTAGGCTTTTCCTTTCGGGCTTTTCTTCAAGGTTTTTAAAACACGTCTGCTAGGGAGAAAGTTTCCACACCCTTATAAAGAATGTTTCGTTCTTCACCCCAACCGATGTGGGATCTCACACTTTACCTCTTATTCTCGATCGATCATATCAAAATGCAGTTGTAAATAAGAGCTATGAAGGAAGCCAGTTCTCACTCAAACCAACCTTTTCTCTTTATCATATAAATCCGTTGGAAAGTTCACCTGCATATTTGAATGGCTGAGCTTTTCAAATTTCATATTTTTCTACCAATTTCCTCCAATTCTAGGATGCATCTGATCTGCAGATCTGAGGTCAAACTTTATCGAGTTCAGTTCAATCTCAGCTCTGGTTTGGTTTTATTACCTTTTCTGCCATATCAGATTCCTCAGTTTGAAAACTTCTTTTTTCCAAGAAAATCACATCAAGGGAATAAAACAAAACAAAAACACCTTACATACTCGATGAATTATGAAAAACTTCCTGCTCCACAGATTAGGAGGCATATCATTGGTGAGTCATTGAATCTCATTCAGTGACTCCAGCTGTTAGATAAGAATAATAATTGAGATATCTCTCATAATTTAGAAGATCTTGTTTGCTTTCCATCCAGATCCAAGATCCCCCAAGATCAGAAAGGAGCTTTCTTTCATGGAAGTGCTGATACAAGAATTTGTACCTCTTTCTGCATGTTTAAATGTGATTTAAAGTTATGATCATCTGAAACAAAGCATTCACTTCACATACAACAACAAACAAACAAACTTGTTGATGGAAAAATGAAAATAGCTTATAGTCTCAATTGAATAGAAGAAGAACAGTACATCTCATATTTCTGCAGTGCTTATGGAAGGTTTTCAGCTCACACTCAAAAAATTTATTGAAACTCAAATTTTTCTTATAGTACACTCTATAGAATAGCAAACCCGAACCCGCAAGTATTGACGAAAAACGTAACTTTATCTTTTCCTCATGCACAATATAACAGTTGCATCCAACATCAAGTTCTTCTCAACTGGTGTGTTCTCAGTCACTCCCTTTAATCTCTTCATGCTTGTCAAGTTGGCTGAAATTCCCCTTCTGTTTGAAGAGTTGGTTGTGATGATGCCTACAGTACAGTCGATGTTCATGTGCTATGTAGTTTGATGGGCTAATCACACATCCTCCATGTGAGCACCTGAAGCAAGCTCTGTGGTATGATTTACTATCTACTGCCACCTGATGGAAGCAAAAAAAAAAAAAAAAACAGCCTTTCTTAATATAGCCAACTAGTTTTATCGCAATTTGAGTATCACTCGATTGGTTAGCACATTATATCCTCCATTAAAAGGTTCAGAAGTTCTTCAAAGATTCCATTGCCTTAGATCAAGGAGACCGTCATCTCCAAAAGTGGGGTGGTTAGGTTCGAGTCTGAATCGACGCAACACGAAGGGATGAAAAGAAAGCTAGTTTAGGACAACATTCAACTATCCTAGTTTGTAACTTCCTAATGTGATACCATTTCGAGTTGTATTATAAGGAAATTTCTTGAACTGTAGCTCTTCCTTTTGCATGATATAGTTGATTCTCTCTCGAGAAAAACAGGTGATTAGGAAGGTTTTGTACCCTTTTAGCATTTGAATGTTTAGGTTGTAAATGTGATGACAACTTGAGTGAATGGTTCATAGAATAGCCACAGGAAGAAAGTAAAAAACTAGAGGCTTTTAAACTGTATAATGGCCATTTACCTTCTCAATTGGATAAACAGTTTTCTTGCAAGTAACACATTTATCTTGAGTTCCAGCAAATAAACTCGACACTTTGCTGTTGGATTGGACCTTTCAAATGTTAATAACAACAACTAGTAGTTAGGAATCAGAGCATAAGTGTTGATTTTAGCAGATAAGCTTCCAAAAAATGAATTAAAGAAAAGAAAAACCTGATTGGTAGATCTGTCTGTTCTAATGGTTCTTGGAGTACCTAAAGAGAAGAAAGAAGAAGATAATAGACTAAACAAGCAGAAGTCATTGAAGGCGGAAAAAGACTCAACAACAACCAATTACCTTCAAAACTTTTTTCCAAGCTTCCAGTCATCTTGAACAACTGATCAAAGTGAGGTTTGCAATATAATACACCTTCAAAGGAGGAGTAATTGAACAACTGCAGAGACATAAAAACAGAATCAGTACCGGTGATAATGTTCGAACTGTGGGAACCAAGCTAACCTAAACATAGCTCTACTTGTTAAGGAATATCTCTTCGATCCAAAGGTTGAAAGTTATTTTCTTAAAGACAAACCATGATCCTTGTATAGTAACAAACAGAATCTTAACAAACACAACATCTGAGGTAGCAAAATTCATTGTCGAATAAGTTTCAACCTGGAGATATATAAAGACAAACTGGAGTGGAATCAGATACTTATGAGATATGGAATCATTCAACTATTACAACATGAAAATTTTAGCCAAAAGTGCAGATAGAATTGGAAATAGGATCATTTTATATCAGTTTGAGATACTGAATATGATGGATAGGATCTGGAATTAGGCATATCTTGAGCAGCATGCATCTATTCCATTCACAACAAGGCTCTCAGCTGAAGGAAGATCCATATAAGAAAGAAATATATGTGTAAGATTGAAAAGGGTTACCTTTAGAGTGCTCTTGCAATGGTAGCACCTGAAACAGGCCTTGTGGTAGATTTTGTTATCAGCAGTGAGCTGATCAACCAAGTAAACAGTTTTGTCACAGGCCTTGCACTTTTGGGTTGTCCCTAAAAACGCCATCTTCAAAAAATCTTTAGGATTCAAGGAAGAATATGAACAGAAACAGAACAAAACTAAACTGAACTGCCAAGCTGAGAAGAAGGGAAGGGAAGGGAAGGGAAGGGAAGAAGAGGAGGCAGAAGATCTTTCCGTCGCCCTTTTTATGTCGTCTAAGTATCCGGCAAATTTCTCTCTTAGAGTCAGCGATTACAGCTCAGACACATTCAAACAAGCTGACAAATTTCCAGTAATGAGCAATTTGAAAATTTGACCAACATAATTCCCCATTTAGACACCCATTAACTACTTCATTTTCCACGTGTCATCTCCTTATTTGATCACATAAAGCGAAAATAATGTCCCAAGAAGTGGATTAATGTTGTGTTTTAATGCAATTTTATGACCATATACGTTATGTTTCAGCACAGCCATGGAAGTAACAGAACCAAGTTTATTTTAATGGGAAATGGTCGGCTCAGTTACAAAGCTGAAAGATGATCTGTAGAATGAAATATAGAATATAGTTAGATCAAGCAGAGTAATGATGAAAGATGAAGACTTTTTCAATTAAAAAAAAAAAATTCAATGTCTTTGCATCAGCAAATGTGTGACAGATAAGAAATGCATATACAAGAAATACTATACACATTTTAATTTGTATGAATTCATGATTTGATGTATCACTAAGTCTTCGAACTAATTATTGTGTCAAATTCAATATCTATTCTCGAGCTCTTTTTCTTTAGGGGAAAATTCGATCCCGAATGATTTCTTTTTTTTTTTACATTAGGATATATTTTGCTTTACAAATCAAACGTTTGGCGATCGAGCCTTTATTCAATCATTTACGATTACATCCTATACTGTTTTTTTTGTTCTTCACACAACATTTGAAGTGGAAATGGAACAATTTCAATGCTGTGATTGTTTTGTTGGTTCCTTTTTTTCTTTTCAATTTAGCTTTACATCTTTTCTCATTCTCCTTTTTAGGCGCCGACTTGGAAGAGCGATTGAATTGATCTGTCCCACCCACCATCCTTGTTGTTCTCACCAATATAAATAAGGCTACAATAAATTCGAATTATTCCCTTTCTTTTTCTCTTTAAATGTTTTATAATGAATATTATAAAAAAGAAAATCAACCCCCCACTAAAAAAATATAAAAGAAAACCACCTAATCCACTTGGTATATGCATGCGTTTAAATAATGATACCTACAAATAAATAAAAGCATTATTTATACTTCAAATCGTGTCAATAATATACACCAGCCAATCTTACTTGTATTTCCAATTTATTTTTTTAGTTTCCTTCATGTGGGTGTTGTGTTACTATGGACCCATATTAATTACGTTACCACGTTCATTGCTCTACTTTGTGCATGAAATATTATAGATTCTATAATTTCAAAATAAATAAATAAACCTTTGGATAAATTTCAAAATAAATACAGATGGATTGCGAAATTTTCAGGGTTAATCATCATCTTCTCTTCAAACGATTTCAGCCACATGAAAAAGAAAAACTGACCTACAAAGCAAGTTCAGAATAAGTTTTATAGGTAAATTAAAAATCCCATCCCCCACCATGTAAGTTCTATTTCAAGCGTAGAAGCAGGCAATGTTAAGCTTCAAAACCTCGAGATGTTTCCCTTTCGTGGAGAATTTTCTGCCTAGATCACTCGTCGGTTAATCTATTTATGATGAGCTAACTGAAATCTACAAGAAGTTCACTGATTATGAGACAAAGTATACGGTTCTAGAAAAAAGTGGTTGTGCTCAACCATGAGCCTCGCAACCCCTACGCCACTGCATCTATTTCACACAGAAATTTGAGTGAATAAGGAAGTTCCTGGCATCTATTTCACACAGAAATTTGAGTGAATAAGGAAGTTCCTGGCATCTATTTCACACAGAAATTTGAGTGAATAAGGAAGTTCCTTCTCGGTTTTGCATGCCAATTGAAGTATCATGAAGAAATTATTGATGATTAAAACCAACCTACAAGAAATGGGGGAAATAGAACTGGTGCTTCAAAACCTTTATTTAGCTGAAAGCATTAAAAACCTTTGTGAGACATTTTATTAGTCACTGGATACAAATTCCATCATGTACTTTCGCTAGCTGCCTTTGCCTGCCGAGCTTCTTCTCGCATGGTTGCTTTCACATAGATTTCATAGCAACATCCTGAAAAAAAATATAATGACAAGGATTAAAGTTTTTCTTTTCTTCGGGACGAAAAAATTTCATTCCAAAGGAACTAAACATACACAAAGAGATATTCTTCCCACCATCAGGCATGATGAGATGAAGAAAAAGAGTCCTCTTGACGAAAGAAGATAAATTATCAAAACATTTGTAAGACTTCGACCAAAGGGAGGCTCTGTGGCCTTACATTCTCTCAAATTTCTCTAGAATTTCTATGAATGTGGTTTGAAATTCTGTCATTTCTTTATAACCCAATGACCCACAAATAGCTCATGAAGCCTTCATTACCAATAATCTTTGCTTTCCACTTAACCACTAAACCAAAATAATCTCAGGAAGTATAATTGGATCCTTTTGGAAGCACCGTTCTATGTTGAACATATTACATAACTGAAACCAATAATCTGCTAGAGAAAAGTAGCTGGAAAATTAAAAACATTATGAAAGGTCTCTTCATAGAAGAGACTAGTTTTGGCATGCTTGGGGGTATAGCACGTAGAGTGGGTTTTCCTTTTAAATACTTTTTTGAGTGTTGATGTTCTTGTAGACTAGGGTACAAGGAGTTCTCGTCTTCCAAATCTGCCTAGTCAAGTGCCCGTCCTTCTTGGTCATTGAATTAAAGTAAGAGGGCATTGAATTGAACCAATAATAAAGTTCAAAGATGTTTTCAGTGGCCAAGCTGGACAGAAACTCGGTGTGTGGATAAATTGCATCTCTCCCATCTTTTTCTATATCCCTTTCGATAATAAATGTTTTGTTTCTTAATAAAAAATAAAAAAAAAGATGATGGTAACATTGTAGAAATTTAAATAAAAAGAAAAGAAATCAATTACGTTTCCTGGCAACATGCCAATTCACTTAACATAGCCCGATGCACATGTGAAGAACTCAAAATTGATTGCTCCTTCACTGAACTAACAGGTAAAACGTTCATTTTCAACTAATTTGGATTATCATTTTGGGAGAAGTTTAGAATGATAGAGAAGCATTGTTAGCCCTTGTTGAATATAAACGAAAGACATGAATTCTTTTGGGGATGAGGGCTCTAGCATTATTAACTTTGCGCAGTCTATTTAGACTAGATGGTTGAGGACTTTCGGTGTGGAGAGTTTGTTTCTCTGTGATTAAGGAAGTCCTTTTGAGTTCGCCCTTTCGTGAGCATGGCCTTATGTTGCGGCAAAAGAGCTTTTTTGCTATTGTTTTGAGTATTTGGCTAGAGGGAAATAATAGGATTTTTAGAGAGGTTGGAAGATCCAGTGAGGAGAGGTAGGGAACTCGATTTAAGCCTCTTTGTGGGTGTCTATCAACACTCTTTTGTAATTATGATCCTGGCTCGATTTTATTGGATTGGAGCTCTTTTTGTAGTAGTTGGGACTCCTCCCTTTTTTGTGGCCTGTTTTTTTTAATGCTCCCTTTCTTTTTCTTCCATTTCTTATCAATGAAAGCCCAATTCTTTACCCCCAAAAACAAAACTAATCTAATAATATTGTTGTATCGAACTCTGGAAACACAGAGTTGCCTGTTTAGTTGGGGAATATGATGGAGTTCAGAGGTGGTCTACAATTTCAATCAACTTAAGCATTAGCGTTTATTTGAACAAAGACCACGTTGTTCTTCTTTTGAATCTCAAGTTCCTTCTTTTGCAGTCATTGATACCCGGTGAGACTACTAAAAACAAACCATACAATACAGCCGCTACCCCAATCTTCCATTTCTGTAGCATTATTTTGCCTTCTAAGTTTAAGATACTTTTCATCTAACGTATTACTAAGAATCAACCAAAAAAACAAGCATATGCCATATGCTTGTTTTCATTCGAAGGGTATGAAGCCAATTTTCACCTCTAAGAAGCTTGTAAAAATTTGACAAACTTGTATCGGTATAGAAACATACATCATCCAAAAGATTCAACCGCACATAGTTTACATCAATGTTGCTATAATGGTAAATGGCAGAGCTAGGACCCACAGGACAAAGAGAAAAGTATTTTATTAATGAAAAAAAGACTAATACCTGCAACAACTACGATTGTCAGAACATCTCCAATTTTTTTGATTCGAGCGACACCTTTCTTGTGTGATCTGAACCGCCTTAGAGAAGGGTCCTCAGCTAATAACTGCCAGATTTCAACATAGTGAAACTCAATTCAACAATAAATCATTGCAATCACATACTTAGCAACTAAACTGCATCAACAAAATGCAAGAGGTGAGCCAAGTATTGAAAAGTCCTTCGTGAAATGTAAGTAATAAATATTTTCGAAAATAGTTCAATATTGGAGTGGAAACTATACTTGCGGAGTTTGAGAACACGCATGCAAAGCAAACCCGCACTATACACCAATATAAGGAACTTAACAGATTTCACCAGGGTTTCATGGCATAGCATGGCAACAGATTAGTGTAGAAAACAACACGGAAACCTTCCCTCTAATTTCATGGACCTAAATACAGGAGTTCAAGCAGTTTGATCTGAACAGATTCGAAAAGCTTCCATCTATAATGGCGTCGAAAGATTGAACAACGATAAAGCGAAATGAACTAGATTGACAATCATGCGAAATATCAATTAACTTAATGGAGCAGCGGTAAGCTATAAGGAACTAAATGTCCAAACGGTGAAATAGACCACTACACTGGCAATTAAAGATAGAAAATAACAAGAAGTTAGATATGCTTACAGCCTTTTCACGAGTCCCTGGTTCGATGTGGAATCCACGGCGCGAGGGTGACGAAGGATCCACCTACCCGTCAACCAAAAACTCAAAAGATTGAGCGAGAGAGCGAAAAAACGATTAAAAAAGAGAAACAAAGAGGCGATTGAATGAGAAAGAACCTGAGATTGAGATCGGAAGTGAGACGCAAGAGAGGTTTTGGTGAGCAAAAACGCCATTGTTCCACAATATGCGAGAAAGAAAAAAAGCATTGGGTGACAGGGAGATTAATAAGAAATACGGTGAGGTCAAAATGGGTAATTGTCACATTATAGCCCAAAAAATTAAGCGTTAGACTTAAGATGGTCGTTGTCTTAAAACGCAAATATGACTCTTTGAGGACGTGAAATGTCCATTTTGTCCTTTAACAATGTTTTTACACGTTACGTTTTGTTATTCATTTTTAATTTTTTTTTCACATCTTTAACACCTAATTTTTAAGATTTTCTATGTTGGTAAATAGAAAGAAATATAAGAGGCACCTCTAAACTCAAGAAGTGAAGATGAAGTGAAGATGAAGTGAAGACACACAAGAGAGCATTCCTATACGAAAAGGGTCATGCTACACGGGGTCATATCAAGGGTACTATACCTCAACTCTGTCAACTCTAGAAGCATTCCCCTCGCCATTGTTAATCGAAGCCTTGCTTTAAAACTGCGATCGTAAAGTTTCTGCAAGTTCGAAAACTTATTCACTCATTGAGCCAACTGGCCACTGCTTCATTTGAGTTTAATATCTGTTCTTATTGAAAGAGTATGCATTTGCTCATTTACAGGAAAAAGAAAATGTCCTCAGGACACCAAATTCTTAGGAATAAAACCCTCCCATTTCCTAAAAAAGAGGCAGAAAGAGAGTTTGTTTTGTACAGAAATGTATAAACAGTAGCGTAAAGAAGCATACATAAGTATTGTGCCCATTCTGATCAAACATCAACCCAGACCAGGTACCTTCTGGATAGTCTCCAAAATTGCCACACAAACTTGACCAGAGAGGAAATTCTTGTGGGTCAGAGACATGGCACAGCCAAGACACTTGGGAAAAACTGCACAAGAACAACCCCCTTGCATCTATTTTATAAACGCACACATTTTAACCCCGACTTTCTACTGGATGCACGCCAATGGGACTCTCCAATAAGTCTATTGGAAGTGCTGCTAGTAGTCTTTTTACGCTCGAACTTGTGTGTTTTCCTGTCTCAACCAAAGTCCAATTTTTCCTTTCCACGACCCTGTACAGCACCTTTGTTTCTCTCGGATACGCTTTTGTTTCGCCTAATTACAAATCTCAACAAAAAGTACCACTTTAGCACACCATATACTTTAGTCCATCTCATTTGAGCACCACATGATGAGGAGCCACCTTGAAGAGTAGAACGTGATTCGAAAATTGAGCTACATTGGAAATCAGACTCTAGAACTTGCAGATGATCCACATCAAAGAAAGATGAGTTTAGTGGCTCAGAATCACAGATCAGAGAAGAGTTGGCAAAGTTTGGGGAACTTGGCATCTGATCATATCTTACAACCATAGAATCAAAACCCTGCAAAGCATGATCGTCCAAGCCACTCGAATTCCCAATAGAACCCATCGATGAAATTATTTCAGAAGTGTATGCATTTGATGGTGTAAAATCAAAGCCACTAAATTTTGGAGAAGCTAAGTACTTGCTACCATAAGAATGATCCTCCATTGGTGAGCTCGGGGTGTAAAGGAAACTGAGTGGGTGAGAAGAGCCACCTACAAGAGAATTTTCATCGTCAATAGAGTCGACTTTTTCCCAGTGTTCGTATGCGGAGATAACCAGGTTGTGAGCATCAGCCTGTGTTCAGAATGAATGTACTAAATCAGCTGAAAAAATGTAAAGCAACTAAACAGTACAGTATATGTCTATTTAGAGGTGACAGGAGATGAGTGCCTTTTCAACTTCAGATAGCTTATCTTTGGGAACGTACTGGTAATCTGAAAGTAGCCCCATCACTTGCCCTACAACATTAAATACCACTCCGCTTTTCTGTTCCAAATCACGAGGCTTGTATACGTAAATCTTCTTATCGAGCACACATGTCTGTGCATGCTCAATTGTAGCTTCCCACATTTTAGTAGACATACCGGGGCCAAAAATCTGATTTTAAAACAAAAAAAAAGGTATAAGTATTGTCGTTTTCAGAGCATTTAGATAGATGATACACGAGAAAAGGTATTTACATTACGAAGCCTTGAAGGTTGTACATAAAGCAGAGTTAGGAAATCTTGCACCGTCTCGATTTTTTCTTGGCTAAGGCGCTTATGATAGACTCCATCCTTGCTAATTTTCTGCAATCTCCATACTTCATCCCCCAGAGATGGAGGGTGGTGCTTCTTGTACACTAAACCAAATGGCAGAGGTCAAATTTTATTTGATATGTCAATACAAAGAAATACGATATAATAAAGCCAAGTACTCACATTCTCCGCGGTGATCCCTGACCACAAACGATGCAGTCTTTGCTTCCAGTACTCTTGTTCCGACATTATCGTCTATAATTCTTGCACCCAGCCTAAACCGACGGCATCGAGTCCAGCTTGAATTGTCAGTGAAAGAAATCTCACCTACCATACCAATGCCATCTTTGAGACTCACAAATGTATCTCCTGTAAGAAGTGGTTTCTTTCCCTCCCTCTCTCTTACAATGTTATTCTTAAACTCCTCCACAGTATAATTATCACCTCCACCCTCAAAATCACCCTCTAGGACTACAATTTCCACTTTGGCTGAGGATTGAGGCCCAGTGTCAACAACTTCCCCACTTATGGTGTCAACCAAAGCCACCGTCAAGTTGGAACCATCTCTTCCTTCAATGCGAGCTCCGGTAAATACCGGGAGAGACACACCAGTTACGAACTTCAATTGTAAGCATCTCGACCCGGAAGAACAGATTTCTTTACCGTCATTTCCATCATTCCTTTACATAAATGCATGATATTTCATCAATACCTCTAATATATTATCCATACATAGACGATTTTGGGTTTAACGATTTATTATCTATTTTCACGTCCTCTCTATTACTATTTTTAGAAGTGGGATCGACAATGCTTGAGAAATTAAACAAATCACAAAAAAGATTACCTTTGCACCCTAGTAATGTACTTTCTGAGCGCCAATTCGACCTCCTCCCTTACCTGAGAACACAACTAGCAAGCTTACAACAAACGCTAAAAATTCCAACTAATTCATCCGTTCGAACACAGATATACATTTTTATGGATTTTTTTTTATCGAATTAAAACGTATAAATACCATAACAAATCAGAACTGTTGATGCAATTTCCCTATCCCATTAATTCACTTTAAAATGTCTGTCTTCATTTCAAGTTTCCCATGAAGTAGCCATTTATGCCATGCCAATCCAAATGGTTTAGCCCCACCCCTAATAACAGAAGTGTTTAACATTCATGAACTGTAGGGATTTCATTAGCAGTCAATCACAAGAATAGTACGTTCTCGGAATTGCCTCATTTTAACTTTTCTTAGGGTTTAAATTTTAATGGTCAACAGATATAAGAACCCTAATAATCACAAGTCAAATCAAAATAGCCACATAATTTACTTTTGTTGTAAAAAATGTTTAGACTATAAAAGTTCTCTTCCTTCCTACTTTGTTTAGTAGAGAATTTTCTTTCCTTTTTAGAATGTCCTATTCTTTGTTCTTTCAGATATTTTCCTATTCCAACAAAGGTAGACTAAACTAATTCCATAGGCACTTTCAGTACTGCCACTTCTAAGGTAGAAGGTAAAAAAGTTACACCAGAAATTTTGAAATGATGGCATGAACAGAGAGAAACATATACAAAGGAGGCAAGATTTCCACAATAAAGTTTATCGGTGGGTTCGACCCCAATGGTATTACAAGAAACCTGCTCCTCTGCTGGAAAGTTTTCATTGGTGCCAATTGAAAATTCTATTTGGTGTATATTATTAGTGTTTCGAGATGAAGATAACCGAATAGGTCAGCATTCTAGAATTAGAAAGAGGTTTTCATATCCCTATGATATCCATTTCCAAAGCACTTGAGTTTTTCCTGTTATATTTTAGGCTTTGACGCTTCATTCGAGGATTCATGGACCTTATATTTTACAACGGTCCTTTCTCTTTATCCAGAAAAATAGGAAAACGTCCTCAATAATTTGGTAAGGGCTTAGACATCCAGTCCAATCATGCATTTTCAACAGCAATGGAACAATTTCCCATTGATAAAACAATGCATTAAACATATTTCCTGGAGTGATCATGCTTACCACTTTACGAATGAGTGGCTCCAATAGCTGTTGCATTGATTGCAATGATGGGGCATCCTGAATCACACTGTACATTACCAAAGATAAAACATCATATCAAGTGATGAGAATTTTTTTTTTAAAAGAGAAAAAAAAAATTCATTGATGAATAAATAACATTGCATTCAATACATACACAAGAAATGGACATTCAAGACTCATAAAGGCTTTCTTATAGCAGTCATAAGGCCACAACAAGAATATACTGGTTGAAGGAAGGTCTTGAGGTTCCAAGAACTATTGGCAACATACTTTGCCTTAATATAATCAAGATAGGAAGAGTCCTAGCCACCTCTTCCATCATATCTAGTAAACATCTACTTTGAGCCAAGCTAATACCGAATGTCTCGAGCAATGTATCCCAATTTCTATAGCAAAGACATCTCCATAAAATTCAAATCTTCTGAAGCCCTCCTATACATCAAAGCATAGCCCGAGGATCCAAATCAATTCATCAAGAAAAAAACTTAACCTTCTTCGGAATTTTCATCTTTCTAGGGCTTCGCAGGAGAGGAGAAGGGTAGAACGTGCAGAAAAACGAGAAAAGAAAGATTTATGAGAGAACAACGCTTCGATAGTTTGAGCGTCCACATATATTAATAACTAAAATTTGGAATGAGATGAACTCTATATAATAAGGAAATCGTGGTGAAAAAATTCATGGCTTCCCATTCAAAGAGGGGTCTCCAAAAATGAAAGTTGGGAAATGGAAGGAGATTCACCTAGTAAGGGACGAAATAATCAAGTGCTTTTTCGAGAAAATGGTGGCAAGAGAGCCCTCTCTAATCAAAATCAAGTGATCCTCCTCCAGAAATTAAATGCCATCCCCCGCCTCCCCCAACCATTTCTGTCTAGAGATTGGTCTATATTAGCCTGTCCAAGGGTTAACTAGTTCTTCTCTAAGTTGCAACTAATCTGAGGGAGTCCAACCTACTCCAACAAGATCATGCCTGACAGCTTCTTCAAGCCAACTTTGTTCTTTAGGGGAATCTCAAACAAACTCAATTGCAAATACTCGTCCCTTTAGGCTCGCACTCATTATGATGCCCCACATAAATGCATCATTTTCATCTCGTCAGAGTAGTCTCTAGAATCCACCCAAAAGAACTTAAACATGAATCATCAGCTCGCTTACCAACTCATGTAGGATACCATACAAACAGTTCTCCCAAAATTCAATTGAACCAAAGAAGCCAGATCGCACCACGTTCCTACTTCCAATTCTAAACATAAATTAGCATTGGCAATGAAACTCAAGGAGAAATTACAGAGAACCCCCACAATCAACAAGGAAACTTAAGAACAGTCCCACAAAACAGTGAAATAAAAGAGTAAAAGAGCGAGAAGCAGCGTGTAGTACCTCCAGAAACGGAATTTTCTACGCTTATCATCGGGATTGTCACCATCCGCCGGACCATCTCCATCATCTGGATTTCTTTTCTGCGACAACATAGGAGGGCGGAAGACATACAGACACAGGACGATGCGATGGTATTGGCAAAGATTGCAATAAACTAAAAAGACTAACATGCGGCGCAAGAGGGAAGAAAAGATATATACAAATATGGTAACATATGCAAGCCCACAAACTAATTGCGATCAACCAAAACAGAAAAAGAAGTTACACAAAAAAACCATAAAATCCCTTTGTTCGTTTCCTTCCCCCTCCTAGCCTCCATCCAAATTCGGGTTCTCCTTCCCCTGAAACTCAATCGAAGTCGTCTTTTTCCCCGCAAAACTTACTTGACCGGACTGAAAAAGAAGAAGCCGGTGCTGTGGCGGAGTACGGACGCTAAGAAGAAGAGTAGAAGCCAGAAGTGTAGCAGAAGAAGAAGAAGAACGTTGGAGATATTTCCGTTGAAGAGGAAGGGGAAGGCAATGGAATGTGTGTGTCAGTCAGAGAAAGCGAGAGCGTGTGGGTGGCGGAATAGCCCGCCAAACCGCGTCGAGCGAAGGCTGATGTCAGCAAAAATGGGGCCCACCGTAATTTCATTTTTGAAGACCATTCGCACGCCTTCTTGCATCGGCTAGCAACATCGCGCTCTCCTCTACCAGATTTGCCACAGACCATAATGTCCTCTCAAGTGGGGCCATTCTCCACGTCATTTTCATTCGCTCCACAGTCCTTACGGTTTAAATACTAATTTGACTTTCTTTTTTTTCTTTTTTTTTTTGTTTTTGTTTAAAGAACACAAATATTAAAATAATATTCGTTTTTTAAATTACGACAGGCGAAAATCTCATGTTAGTTATAGAGGGAAATAAAATATTTTTTATGTAAACTTCTTTTTAATAGATGCATTTTAAAATCGTGAGGTTGTCGGTCAGCCACAACCCACGAAAACATCTCCTAACAAATGCGTTTTAAAATGTGAGACTGTCGGTTAATGGACCAAAACAGACAATATATTTTAGCGATGAACTTAAGTCCATTACAAATTATATTATAACCAAACACACCAGAAAAAAGTTAGACACTCAAAAGGAGCGGTACATGGGGCAAAGATGTAAAAAAGGAGCGTGAATCTCAACAAAAGTTGACAGCCTCATTTCCACGAATCTTCCTCTGTACTTTCAAGCCACGACTCTCAGGCTTAGAATGACATAATTACCCCCGGCTCTAAACCAAGGCTTTTAGTTCCAATCACGTAAGCCATTCATACAAGTCAACGAACAACATGATGTTCATATCCCCTCCCGCTAAAAATTCAACTTTAGACTATCCCTGCATCTAACAACTAAGATAATAATATCTATATTGTTTTGTAGTAGCTACATTCAAGAATTTTTCTTTTTTGGGGGTGAAAAAGAGTTATCATGTGGACTTAACAACTACTTACAAAGTTCATTTTCGGCTCGGTGTCGTCGGTTGGTGCAAGATGAACCAAGTTTGGAATCTTATTGAAAATAATTACAGTCTGTGTTATAAGCGCAACCAATGACCACAATAACCAGATGAGCTACACGATCGCCGTCTGCAAGTAGTCGAATCGACTCCACATTCTTCGTCGCTGAAACACTTATGATCTGCTCGAGCATCAAGGATATGGCAAGCACTCTCTAGTTGTTGGTCACCATCTCCAGCTGTGTTTAGTGAGGTAGCTGGGCAGACTTGAAGAGACATTGCACTAGACCTTCTTGATGAATTTTCACCCTGCAGATATAAATGCACTTCATCTCCACCAATTCATTTCACATTTTAAAATATTCCTTCCAAGTTTTTTCTTCATTAAATTTTCCCACTCTACTGGGCATAATATTTCAAACAGCTGCCAGGCTCCCTGTGATGAGGGGGTAAATGAAAATCAAGACTAGACAGTGGGAGTAATACCTTGATAGATGTCCCGTTGGTCAGGCCATACACCTCTGGCAGTCGTTCATGCCAAGAACTTAGGACTGGCAGGGGGTGACCCTCGGTGGTGAAGATGTAATTTTGATCGACCAGAAACGAGTCGTCAAATAAAAGATATAAATATTTGCACCTACATAAAGAAGGATGGTGTGATGACCAAGCTGATTTTCTGGATAACAGAATTGGGAGACAGAGAGAAAGAGATCATACGTTTCAGAGAGGAAAAAACTATGTTGATGATCTTCCAACTGCATAGTTGTAACATCTCTGACACTTGCAAATCCTCCTTCAACTTTAGTGTACAAGATAAGAGACTTCATGATTGATTCACCCACTTCAAAGTACCATGGATCTTCAATTCCAAAAGCCAAACGGAAGGAATCCGAGTAAGGCAGTTAAGCTTTATAACTAATAGTTGGATAAGACATAAGGAAACTAGCATTCCAAGAATACTATTTTACAGCAGAGCTTCAAACTTTTAATCGACGAGAAACGAAATAATCATAATATACAACGTTGAAGTTTTTGAAAAATAAAACCTTTGGTTGCTTGATACAAGTAAAAAGTTGACTCTGCCAATTCTGGACGGAGAGGATAATACTTTTCAGTGGGATGCAGCATCTGATAGTCAAGTAAATACCTGAACAATTTAAAATCCCAGACTTGAGAATTAATGGTTGTCATGGAAAATACTGGAACGCTAATAGATTGAAACAAGATAATTGACAAAAAGAAAATAAGATAATTGACAACGAAAGTTCTGTGTTCTGGTCAAAACATGGAATAGTTTAAATGGACAGATTTGCAAGCAGCATACCTTTCCGGTAGAACTCCATATTTCTCCCACACATGAAAGAACTCACGATGTGATGAATTAGCTGCCGGAATATCCCCAACAAGAACCTACTAACAGAGAGTCAAGGACAAACAGTCATATTCAAGTAGAGTATCATTTACTAGAACTTCTAAGATTACTGCAACTAGCCTGTAGGCCAGGCCAAAATGCTTGAAGGCTTGTGAGCTGCCAATGGGTTGCCCTCCCTGTCCTCATATCGGCCTCATGATACCTACATTACCAAATAATTTCAAGTAAGCCGCCCAAAATAAGATAATAATTTATTGGATATACCTTTTAAAAATTTGTTCTTAAAGAATATTTTTAAGAATTGTTTTTATTTGTTATTGTTTAAAATCTATTTGGAGAAAAAAAAAAAGTTGGTGTGCATTGAAAATTACAATTGTTGTAGCTTAGAAACGGCTAAAAATGAATATAGTTTTGTATAATTTAAGAAAATGTGTTCGTACTAAAATGATCATAAAAATAGTGTACACGCTACCATGGACCATGTCTGAAATATTTCTGCACAGCAAGGTAAGCACTGTGGAACATTCTCCAGAATTCTTCTTTTCCAAAAAGTACATGAGCCTTAAATAGATATTCATAGAATGAATCAACCCCTTGAAGAAACCACAAGAATCCAACATCAGTATTAGGTTTCTACTCTTCCAAGAGCATAATTATGTATAATTCTACCCTGAGCTCAATTGCATAAAACAGGTTTTCTTCCTGATAGACGTTGAGTTAATATTACAAGAGTATGGAAGCGCCTTATAAGAGGTGGAGACAATTATCGAAGAAGAAAAATATAGTAAAAATGAAGATGTGATAACTTCTACCAAAACATGTAAAAATCTGTATTGTCAATAACAAATGACTTACCAGCACCAATTCCAGATGAGAACTCAATCCATTCACCTGTTTCCACATCCAATGTAGTTCCAAGTAAATTCAATGAACTGCGCATGCTCCACAACTTACGAAGAGCACGCAAAGCAGCAGATTCAAACCTGGGGTCACCAGTCAATCGCGATAATGCTCCCATTTCGAGAATTAGAGAACCTGGGGTCACCATTTCGAGAATTTTGATCCAATTCAGACCATAAAATTTTCACGCATACTTATCTTAACAATAAAAGATAAGAGCTCACCACACCCGGAAGAACTTGTTTCAGTAGTCTCATTCTCCATCACTCCATGCTGCCCACAGAATTTTGGATTGATGTGGAGTCATATACTCCTCTTTAGAGGGAGAAAATGGAACCATGACCCAGAAAAACGTATTCATATATTTTAAAACTGCAAAGAAAACTTCTGAAAATATCTACGGACTCCCTAAGCGTACCATGCATACAGTGAATTTAAGCTGCATTAAAAATATCATTCAAATAGTTGACCTCCACCCCACCCACGCCCCAAGAAAAAAAGAACTGCTGAGAAGAACAAAAGGAACAGAGCAAGGTAAGATCTGGCTTGTTGGATGCAAAATTTCTTCAGTACACCTAAGGAGATTCACTTATTCTCGTTATGATCATTTAGAAACTTATACCAAGAATATTGTTCAATATGCAAACAGCATAAACGACTTATAAGGCATCAGAGACATATCTCAGTTCTCAATAACTGCAAAATTAGCTCAATAAAAGAAGACAGGGTCCAGTGAATACAAAATCCCATGAAGATCATATAGCATGGAGTTTAATATATCATAATATTTATAAACAATTAGATTTGGACCTAAGCAGATGATAGGTAATACCTTGAGGTTAATCCACGCATATGGCAACCCTGTGGGGGTATTAAATGCAGGTAGGAAGCGGTTCCCTAAGTCTTCGGCCAAAACTAGTAGTTGATTCTTATAACTTTGTCTAGGCAATCGGGTCGTGGAATCAGTTGCAAGAACATGGGCAGAAACAAGTCCTCCAAGAACTCTTATGTTGCACTACAAAATTGTGGTCAAGAGTAAAAATGCATATATTGCTCCTTCATCCACAACATTTTAGCTCTTTCTTAGCATGACAAGCATTTGAACTCAGAGATAAGCCAACCACATTCATCTTTTTGGGGATTGGGGATATCTAAGGACTTGGGTACCTCAAATAGATTTATCCGTGCATCAACATCAAAACGTAAATTTTCAGAAAGCCAAAGCACCGCCTTTTGAAATTCAGTGTTATTGCCTAAAATTACAAGGCTGAAAAAGAAAAATGTGATCGTTATGAAACTAATAACTAAACAACCATAAATTCAGGCAGTAATCAATTCATACCTAGACAATGATTCGATGAGTGTAAGAGCAGATCCATTATAATTTTGTGGCAAGTGTTCCAGCTGAAAATTGAAGAATCACACAGTTAATGCACTCCCCACAACCAATTACCACTCTAAAGCCATATTAACATTATATTGATTACCTTAAGATTACCGAGCTCACTGAGGGAGTTGGTGAAGGTCTTCGTAAGAGGTTTTAGCTCATCGTGCTGATAGAAATAGGACAGTCAATAGGTTTCTATGTGATCAGAGACATGAATCTGTAACCAAGAATACTTACTGGAAATGCATATGTCATATAGTTGTCATATGCATGGTAAAACCTGAAAGCATATAAAAATAAGCCAACTGTCAGATACTTTGCGTGCTAGTGAACGTAGGGATCATCTAAACAAATACAACCGATGAAATTTAGGCAAGAACAATGGTGTGTACTAAATTAAGATTATGCAACTCACCGAGAATAAATAGTAAGACACAGTAACTAGAGGTCAAAATAATGCACT